CAGACAAAAGCACAAAGTTCAAACCCCCGAAAAAAAAAAAAAAAAAAAAAAAAAAAAAAAAAAAAAAAAAAAAAAAAAAAAAAAAAACAAACTTATTTGAGAGTGAATCCTAGTGGGAGAGGCCTTCAGGACATCATACCCTCAGTGGGGCAGGTGGTGGCAGAGGTAGGGGCAGGGGACTTTTAGAGCAGCCATTGTATCAACCCAATAAAAGGCAAGCTATGAGTATTAAACCTACAAGTTCAGGCTCAAACGTTGAGCTTCTTTCTCTGCTCTTCCCTATTTCATATCCTCTCATAAATTCCTCCTTTTCTAATTAAACTACCACAGGTAGATGCTATTATCTGCAGCTAAAACTTATGGGACCTAGTAGGCACATACAGGTATGTACGTGTGTGATACAACATCACTCATGAACTAGCTCAAGAAAGCTCTCCTGGTAAGGAAGAGCACATCCTCAAATACTGGAATTCTAATGCTGACCTGGGCTTAGCAGGGAGGAGCCCTGCAAAGTCAGGAGAGTGAGCTGATCTTCTCTTTCAGCCTGAACTCTGGGGGAAAATGCTTTCTATCAAAACACAGGCTCATGTTTGTCTACTCTCGTGGAACAACCAAACAAGTGTCGGTCTAGATGGGGTGATTCTGGCATCATCTCCTCGTGTCCAAGAAGTTTGTTCCCCTTGCCTGTGATGTTGTGATCAGAGAAAGCTCACCCTGGGTATAGAAGATAGTTTTCATCCGTACCCGTGTCATATCAGAGGACAAATCCATTGGAGAGGCTCACCCTCCGTCATCATCAGCTACATGGGACTTTAGTTCACACAGCCCATGGTGATGTTTCTGGGAAAGAGTCCAAGAGCCTGAGGGGAGGCCCGAAGACACTGAAAACATGCTTTACATATGTCCCCAAGTCTCACTTTATAGAAGTTTTGATTCAGTATAGTTTTAAAAGAAATTAGAACACATCATCGCTACTGTGGTTCTTTGGCAATCAAAACAAGAGCAAGACAAATCTTTTTCAGGCCGCAAATGTGGGTTTCCTAAAAGAAAATAAAAACAATAGCAAAACTTTAAAAAATCTGTTAATGTGCAAATGTCATGGAAAAAAAATGGAGCTGGTGAGTGGTAATAAATCACCAGGCCATATTCTTTGCAAATAGAAGGAATTCTTTGAAATCATCTTATCTTTTTGCCACTGAGCTGGCTAAATCTGGCATGGGAGACAATTTCTCCTCCCAGACTGGCAATGAAATTTTGAAACAGTGCTACTTGCTAAATATGCTGAAAAGAAGGTTGTGTTTGTTTTGTTTTATTTGTAGTATTAGGGATCAAGCCCAGGGCCTTCTCACTGATCTGCATCCTTGGACATTTTTTAAATTTCTTATTTTGAGACAAGGTCTTGCTAAATCACTAAGTTGCACAGGCTGGGCTCAAACATACAATTCTCCTACCTCAGCCTTCCAGAGTGCTAGGATTATAGGCATGAACCTTCAAGCCCAGCTAGGAAGAGATTTAAAATGGCAAAGTGCAAAAAATCTGGTGATTGTGGATCTCAATTCCATTTTCTATGTGCCAAGTCACCTGATATTTCTAATCCTCTGTTTCTTCACCTATCATGTGAGGATGATATTATTAATATATTATTAACCATTATACTTGGTTTATAGGACAGTTAAAAAGGATATTTTAATAACATCGGCAGCATATCTGGTCATGGTAAGGGCTAAAGACAAGGGAATTACTTAGTGATAAAAATGGCCAGCCTCTGTCTCCTACCTAGCCTAGCTAATGGAGATAATAAAAGAACATGAGCTTCTGGAAGGGCCATTAGTCACTATGAGGCCTCAGAAAATGCTTCAGAAGGCAGTGTTATCAATTCAGCCCATCTTAGACCGTGACCACACAAGGACTGTTAATCTCTGCTGTGCTCTCATTTCAACTTGAAATAAAAGAACAACCTGGGACTGGGGATGTAGCTCAGTGGTTCTGCCTGCCTCACAAGTGCAAGGTCCCGATCCCCAATACAAACAAACAAAAAAAAAAACAACCTAAACACACACACACACACACACACACACACACAACAAAACAAAAGAATAACCTGTGTTTGGACAAGGTGTTTAAGCTTTTATTGTGAATGGTAACAGACTGGGGCCCTGAATCTAATTAACAAGTAGCCTAGATATACAAAGCATCCATTGGAAGACTCTGTTTTGGACAATTGTTCACAGCAAACAAGCTCAAACCAGAAGATACTGCTTGAAAATTACGAATTTAGTCAAGGTTGAAAGATACAAGAAGAGTGAAGTGTTTTGCACAAAGGAGATCTCATTGGTGATTCAGTAGAACTGATGCTTGCAGAATGCAGTCTCTTAAGGATTTTGTTCTGTTCCTTTGAGGCCATCATCACCACTGTCTGTTTAGCCGGGAGTTCCTTCCTTCCCCTTGAGAACCTGGAGCAGAATGTCTACCAACTTTTAAAAAAAATTAGAAAGAGTTCAGCAAACACATTTGTGATGTGGAAGTGTGACCCATTTCCAACCCGTGGTCAGCATCAGTGGGGACTTGATTAGGCAAATCTTGAGTCAACGTCAGTTTGACTGACTTGGGAACTGTGGAGAGGAGCTCGGCAAGCAATATGCCTTTGCAAAACCCCATAGAGTCTGAGCACCCAGTGTTTGAAAATCAATGATATTAATGTCCACTTTTTAAAGCATCTGCAGTTTGGAGGTCTTTTTGTTGTGTATTCTTAACTTGCCCCCTGATCTGATTACTCAGGCATGTTTTACCCAGTGTTGGAAGTCAAAAGTATTATCCCCAGGAATGTATTCCTAGAGTAATAGCTGAGAAGAGGAGGTGGAGTTTTATCCACTCTTGGCTTACTTTGGCAATGCTTCATGACAGCCATCAGACCCAGTTTCCAAACTTACACACTGCAGACATAGATTGTGAATGGTAGTAGTGTGGGGCATCTTGAGAAGAGGTGTCAATTTGGGTTTCTGCCAGAATTCTAAATTTATTGTGGTTTGCTTATTGTGGCTTCTGCTCCATTTAACTAAGACTGAAGAAAGAGTAGCTATAATTAAAAAAAAAAAAAACACAAAACTTCTTTGTTCCCCTATAGCAATAATTCCCCCAGTGAAATGAGAAACCAGAGCTTATTATCTTTTACCACACTAGAGTTTATTACTCTTCCCAGGATTCTCTTGCAATTCAGATTCCCCAACTTCCAAAATGGCTATTTGTTTCTAATAAAGGAACTACTGCTATTCTTAGGCAAATGGTTACCTGAGCTGTGACTCAACTGTTTGGAGCAGATGCTAATGAGCTCAGGGCTGGGGCTCATTTCCCACACTTGCCAATTAGCTTTGCTTTCCTCACCCAGCCCAGACAGCAACATTAAGGGCCTGCATTCTGCCCGGAGATGCCACCGTCCATTCTTCCAGTGGAGCCTCTGGTCAAGAAAATGCTAGGGTGTGGGGAACATCCATAAAGGCACTTCCCCCACCCAGCCCCAAATATCGAATTAAGAGGTATGGCTTAATTGAAGCAACGTAGAAACAAAAAAGATGTTTCCAGGTATAACTTTGGAAGATCAAGTTCCCAGAGTCAGAGATGGTTGGAGGTGGGGAGGAGCTGTGTTTGAGGTGGGAGCTGGCCTCACTCTTCCTTCATGGAAACCACTGGGTAACTGGAGAGTCATTAGTTCTTTGGTAGCACATGTTACCTTTTCTGTATGTGGGACTACTTCAGGAGCATTTTAAACATCGAGAAGCAAAACCTTCCTAATGCCTCATGCTGATTGCTGTGCTTTGACACTGAGGGGGTCCTTCAAAGTGTGGGCAAATTTATTCATCTACTTCCTTTCCAGAACACCCTCTCGAGTTCATTTCTCAACCCATCTTCTTTCTTCAAGTCTACTAAATAGAAGGAAAAACCTATGTCTTCAAGGAACAAGCAGTGGACTCAAATTACAAGATAACCCTAAGGACAATTGAAGCCTTCATTTTATCACAGAACAATCTACACACAGGATTATGCATTAGGCCCCAGAGTGGACCCGAACACCCTCTGTTACAGAAACCATGAGGCAGAAATTCCATTAACTTTAGGATGGAATCAAAGGGTCTATGCGAAGGGCACAAGTAAAAGGAAGATTAAGGTTAACCTTGAAACTTATTGGTCATTCTTGGTCATAAAGTCTCAGAGCCTGCATGTCATGATCAAGTAGTCCAGATTCAGTGCATATTCCCACACATCTCTCTGAATTAAGCATTATTGTCATCAAAACATGGGAAATGTTCAGAGTTTCTAACTACAGCTCTGAGAGGGTTGGCAACAGGATTTGGTGTTTTATTACTACAACGGGAGGGGACAGCATGTGTGGATAGTTTTTAATTTTTAAGACAAGTCCTTCAGCCTTTGAAAGCTCCTGCTGCTAATTCTGGCAATACTTGGCTAAGCTATTAAACTTCTCCCCAACTTTGAGAGATTTATGGATTTCTAATAGAACTATCGCTAGTTCTCCTTTCTGAATAAGAATTATGTTTCCAGTTCTCACAACTTCTTTCACTGAGACAGAATCTCCTAAGCAAGAGGAGTGATAAATTACTATCTTGGTCTTTGCAAAGAGTGAACTGTCAAGTTTGTTTTTCATGTTACTGGGAAACATGTCCAAAAGAATGGGGCCAATGTCTGTACTAACTGTTCTTGAAGTAGAATAAAATAGGATAGGCTTTCTAAACTCAAAAAAGAGAGAGAGAGAGAGAGAAGAAAAAATGACACATAAAGAGATAGAGTAGAAAGTAAGGCCTGACTTTAAAAAAGAAATCACCTCAATAAGGCACAAGTGTAAATACCGAATAGTTTCTCTGGTGTGTGTAATCTGCAATAATACGGGAGATTCTAATAAGATTACTGACATTTAGAAATGGGAAGAAAGGAGCTAAACGTGTAGGGAAGGTGGGATGGGTAGGGGAAGGGTAATAAGGGAAAAGAAAAAAGTGTGAGATAATGAAAAGATGGAAATAAAGTGTTTGTAGATAGGGAGGGGAGGAGGGGGTGAAGGGAGGGCAGGGACAAGGGGAAAAAATGAGAACCAAGACTTGTCATGTAGAGGTACAAGATCCCAACAATGAATGTAACTGTACTGTATCCCTAAAATGTACCAATAAACTCAATTAAAGCAGGGGGAAAATAAATAAAATAAAAAAGAAATCACCTCACACTGGAAGAAATATTGTCCTTTTTTGAGTAGTCATTCTCCTTACCTGCCCATTCAATCCATCCTATAATACTGCCACTCAGAGACCTGAGTTATATTCTTTCATCATTGTCTTTGAAACTTTGAATATCCTTCCCAATATGGGAAGTTTCTAATACTCAAGGAAGGATTTGAATTTTTCAAAAGATTTCCAAGACCAACAGAAACAAGTTTAGGGAATAAAGCAACTCAAACTGGTCACTACTGCTTGGTTCCAAAAATGGAATGTTATAGATTAATAACACAATTGTGCACGTTGGGAGGAAGTATTTTGTGAATGAGCCAGAAGAGCAAGCCTATTCAATGTGTGTAGAAGTTATTCTAGGGGACTTGTGGTGGCAATGAGAAATGAGAAACAAATGAGAAAGAAGTCTCTGTAATTAGATAGCCACCTAGAGGAACTCCAGGGACGCACTTTACCAAGAATAGCCATGAACTGGCAGGCAGGGTCTGAGAAGTCAGTCACAAGTTCACAGAGCCTTCAAAGCTTGTGATCCATCAACAAAGAAAGGGAGCTGATTACTGAACACTTGTACATAGGTGTGACAAGAGACGCAGTCGGGGCTTTGTATAAAGTTAGTACTTATTTCTGTAGCAGTTGCCTTAATCCAGATTTTCTTTCTCAATAAAAGCTACTGAAGGCTTTCTCTCTAGATATCTCATGCAACAATTTAGCTTTTAGTTTGCATTTGGCATAGAGAATCCTCAGGAGACATGGGTAGCAAAGCAGCCTTCCTCCAGAGAAGCTGGCAGAGACTTGGCAAAGCCAGCTCCAAGGCTCTGCAAAGTGACATTGATCAAAGAGCTAAACACCATGAAAGACTGAGCCAGAGGGGTTTCCAAGCTGTGGAAATGATGAGCATTATTATTTACTGCCAGAAACAATGAGAAGGAAGGCCTGCTAGTGCTAGATACAGGTATTCTGCATGTTTAAGATCAATGAGGACCACTCCCTGGAGATCCTGCAGGCACAGACTGTCTGAGGCAGACTGAGCATGGGCTTTTGCCCTGATTTCACTGATGAAAAGTTCTGGGACTGTTTTCAGTTTCCTTATCTCTAAAATAGGCTGTAGCTCAGTGACAGAGCATGTGCTTAGCATGTGGAAGGGCCTGGGTTCAATACCAGGATGAGAGAGGATAAAATCTTCCTAGTAACAACATAGTGAGCATAAACAAACAAAAAAGAGATAAACTGCTTACTTGGAGTATACTAAACATTCAGTAAAACTAGCCATTATTATTATTATTATTATCACTGAAATTATGTTTACCTTTTATTGTACATTCCACAGAAATTTCTTTAAAGTTAGTGATAATTACTTCATTTTTAGTCATCTTGCATTCTTCCTATAAAACGTATCCTCACCTTTGTTTTACTTACTTTACATCTAAACATTGCTAGAGTTTAGTGGTAGTATTTTTCCCCTATCCTCTATATAATTATATTCAGGGCAAATCAGTTGAGTCCAGATGTATTCATCAAACTTTGAAATATTAGATTGAAATCTGAGCCAGGTAATCTTGGAGCAAATGAACAGTAAGAAATACTTCTTTGCATATAAACAGGAATACTCTCTCTTAAAATGTCTGTGAATAGGCTCTTCCTGCCACTGGTGCTTATCAAAACTAAATACATCTGTAGTCTGATAGGGATTTACTCAAATATAATTCATAGCTTCACTATCAAAATATTCTGGTAAGGCTCACAATGCATAACTTCAAATAAACACAATTGCTAATAAAACTATAAAACTCCTACACTAGATCTTAGAAACAACAACCTGTTTATGTATTAAGAGGGGCAGTAATCTATTACATCAAGAAGAAAACAGTGTGGAAATTGTCTACTAGTTTGCTTACCATGCATTGGTGTTGGCCTATATGGTAGCTATGAAGACATGTATGAACAATTTTATATTCCCCTAGTCAACCTTCCTCCCTTTCCAAATGTCCTCAAATACTTGCCACCCCACTTCCCAAATATGTTTGATGTCACTGTTGCCTGTTTCACCTACATCTTTAAAGTCGCTGCTATCCTCTGTGTCCCAAGTGGGCTGGTGGTTGCTTAAGGGCTTGAGTTGAGGAGGCCAATGACTTCTGTTTCCCTTTGCTTCTATGAGGCCCAGCAAACTCCCTGTAGCTTCTTCCCCATGAATGTCTTCCCTTAGTTGCTTCTCCAGGCTGTCTCCCTGAAGCCCATGCGGGGACTCACCTGTGCTTTTTTTTCCCATTAAATGTCCTGTAAAAAACAAGAACAAACCAGAATGCCACAAATTTAACCAAGGAGAATGAATGAAGAAGAAATACCTATTACATAGTATTTGTGCTGCTTCCTTTTAAATGCAAAATAAATAGCAGTTTATGATTAAGAGTTAGTTCGTACAGGGCAGGAATTTTGCTCTGATCATAATGAGCAGTGAGCTAGGCAGAATTCACAAGTGTACCCCAGGGACCGTGGGTTTGGTTCCAGCTCCTCTACTAACTAGCTAGGTAGCCTCAGCCAAGTAGCCTAGCATCCCCAGTCTTTAATTTTCTCAACTGTAAAATGAATTGGGTGGGCTAGATTAAATCTAAGGAAGCTTCCAGATCTAAAATTCTATAACCAATTCTGTGGTTACTGACTTCTGTTCCCAAATGAAAGATGGAATTTAAACATCTTTCTCAGTCAATTGTGAATTGCTGCTGAAAATAAGAGTGTTTGTGTTTTTCTTTGTGTGATTAAAAAAAAAAGCATTGCTTTTCCCTTCTCTGTAATACAAATATACTAAAGGAATTTTTCATTTAAACTTTCTCTCAGAATTTTTGCTGAGATTGAACCTAGGAAATGTCACCAAGAAATTATGGTTTGTTAAGAGTGTAATGAAAAACAAGTTGAAAACAAGTTCTGACTAACACTTGCCAGCCACATAATGCAGAAATTTATCTTGGATGTGTGTGAATAGCCAGTGGAGTTTCTTGGTGGCTCCAAGGAAGTGTACTTACCGTATTAAAAAAATGAAAGCTGATGGTATGGAGACCATAGCACTGAAAACATGTGTGCAATATAGGGCCACAAGTGGGTATAGAATCCAAATTTTGCATTCTTAACACTTTAGCCCATTGCTTAAACATACTTACATTATTTGACTTTCTTCAGTTGGTTTTCCCCCATGCTTCTGAAGTTGGGTTTTATTGCACTTTGAAATTTCTAATATCAAACAAAACTTTGATGCTTTTGGTTTAAAGCACACAAGGGAAAGATCTTTGTGATTGCTCCACAGACTGGCATTAGCAGTGTTTAAGGAAAACATCACAGAAATAATATTTAGAAGATCTTCAGCCTCTTAAAATTGAAGGGGGCCCTTTCCCAGCACCTCTGTCTGCCAACAAAGAAGTCTTTATCATCTTTTTGTTGCTGTCTTATGTCCTGCAATTGACAGTTAACAGAATGTTTAAATGTGGATTGTTTCATTTGATCCACACCATAGTAGTTTTCTCCAAAATAGGTTTGGTGAAAATGAGTCTTGCCAGAGTTGACACAGATATAAACAAAGGACTGAAATCAGCTTAGAGCCCAAATTCTAGTATATTATACTATTTCAAAGTGTATTTTAACTTCCGAAGACTGCAAGGAAGCAACAACATACCATGCTTCAGTCTCTCTTGTGTTATAAATGGAATAGGGATTGTACATTGCTGTATCTTATCTCATTCTGTGACTCATAAAAATTAATTCTGTGAGTACTGGGGAACATTCAAATGAGATTCTGAATGTGAGCACTTGCCAAGTAACTAGGACATGACATGTCCTACCATTGCAAGGTGCTATGGAGGAAACTCTCCATGCTGAAGGACTGGAATTCTGAATGGCTGGCTCTTCTAGGTGTGGTCAACTAGTGGACTTAGTCTATCCACTAAATAACCTTGCATTCGGCCCCAGTGGTGATTCCATTGCACGACTTCCCAGGAGGCACTGAAGCATCTGCTTCATTTATGTGGAGGAAATGGAAGCACGGTGATTGGAAGGCAGGACTAGAAGAACCTTGATGCTCCCAGCAATGACCTCTGTCGCTCTTGTCCTCTCTAATTTGCTTATCATTGAGTTAAGGTGCTGGGAGTGAGAGAGGAGTTACTGCCGAAGAAGCAAAGAAGTGATGAAGACATTTCTGCAGATGAGGACTCATTTTTGTCATCCTTGAATACATGTGTGGGTTTTTCTCTAGTGAAAGGATAACATTATTGCCCAGTTCTGTGATTTATTTAATAAAGATCCTTGTGACATTGGACTTAATTTCATGACTTGCCCGATGGGTGTGTGTGGTGTTGAACCTTCCAGCCCTAGTTACAAACTGGTTAACAAGGAAAGCGTGCCATCTATAACACTCCAAGGAAGTACACATTGCCTAGTTCCTATTTCACTTTTAAGCTGACTACTATCATCCAAAGCATTGTCTCCATGGCAACGTGGATGCCATACCCACTTTCCCTCTTCTCCCATCATCATCTGTTGCGTGTCCATATATATAAAAAAAAAATGGAGATCTCAGCATAGACAAAAGACAGACTCCAGAAAAACAAAATCTTGCTCTGGTGGTATGTGGGGGGAGGGAGCCTCTCTCTGTTTTAACCATTTAAAGATACCACCGAAGGGGAGACTTGAAACATCAATGGGTTTCCTTAAAGCCAAAACCAAAACATTATCCTAACATAAGCAGGGATGCATCAAGATCTAGGTAAAAGGGTTGAATACTTCTAGGCACTGCTTTTCCTGGAGTCACACTCCCCACTCTCGCCCTCTCAGCGCTGAGGATTGAACTTGAGGCCCAGGAGAGCTAGGCAAGTGCTACACCACTGAGCTACCCTCAGCCCTAGAGCTATACTTTCAACTCAGTTTTGTTTTCTGAGGCAGCACTTCCAAGGCAAGCCATTCTGTGACTGAATACTAGTGTTTCCTAATTCAGCCTTCTGGGACATGCTCCATACCACAGTGAGAGCCGCAGCTAGGAGCATTTCAGGGGAGCAGAGAGAACAGTCACCAGTGTTAGTGTTTACATGTATTTTCTTTGCGCAAGCAAAGCACTTCTGTGAACATCGGGCCACGTAGGGATTTGTTATGTTTTCAAGCTCTCAACTCATTTGCCTTTGCTGCACCGTGCTCCTCTCAGCTGGAAGAAGCAATTCACTTAACAAGCCGGCACATGTGTGCTGCCAGCTTCCTTGTGGACAGGAACATGTCTGTTAGTTTTACGTTAGTAAAACACCTGACCTGGAGAGGGTAGGTATTGTTTTGACATAATTGAAAGCTAAATTTGAAATCTATCAGCCTTGAGAATGCATACCCTGAGCAAACTTCTCAAGCACAGTGTATGTAGCCTTAGGCTGAAATGTGACTTCCTTCCTCTCTCCCTTGCTCTTGCTCAATCCCACAGCCAGCAAAGGGAGGAAAAGGAAATAGTGTGCATATAAGAATAAATTTCAAAATGGTATTTGGGAATGCCACTGGATGATATGCTTTTGGGTTAGATATGCCAAGTACTACACTAAAGGGGAAATAAATGAAGATGTCCTTAAACACCTGAGCTCCAGATGTGCTCCAGAACATCAGCAAGTTGGGGTCGGCTTGGCTTGTATCAGAAATAATCTGACGCTGGCTTTCCAGATAACTCTGGTGTCCTCCTTTTGGCCTGCAATGGTTACCTAATAGTGAACCATTTTCATATAAAAATAGATGAGAAAAAAAAGTTGGCTGTCTCATCCACCCTTCCTGCTCACTCACTGGCTGGTGGCTGGACTAGATGATATGGTCACTAGGTTTAGGGTACCAGAATCCCTTTTTATCATTAATTTCAAGTTTGAGTTCTTTGACACCTTCTCAGTATCCTCATTCTGAAAATACAGGGGTTCTTAGCTTCCCCCGTGCCTACCTCTTCACAACAGGCTCCTGGACTCTTGACTGCCCTGAGAGCCCAAATCCTAGGGCCCCTGGGATTCCCAAGACTTGCCAGCTGACACTTCTAGCAGCTACTGAAATTATTGTATTGCAACCCAGCATTCTCCCTTCTCTGACAAAGTACATATAACACAAAGAAGCCCTGAAAGCAATTCTAGTTCCAACCCTTCCCCAAAACTCTTCTCAAAGTGGCACGGAGAACCTGTGAATCAGTCGCTTCTTGAGTTAATAAGTACCTTTCCAACACACTTTCCCTGCTTCTAAGTAGATGGTTAAGAAAATAGTCCTACACACACACACACACACACACACACACACACACACACACACACACACACAATCTCTTTAGGGGTGGGTTAGCTTCCCGGGAATGTTGGAGCTGTTGCATTTGCCTGGTTGGAAGGAGGTCCGTGGACTTTGGACCCTTTGCGTTTGTCCCTGGCTATTCTTGCGGAGGGCAAGAGGCCCGCACTGCGGGTGACGTCGGGAGAGGGCGATACTTCCAGTCGGCCAGTGAGTGGCATCTCAGTTGCAGGACCACTCTAGGCGCCAACGCTGCGCTTCCCTAGAATCGCACAGAGCCTCCACCCACACCCCGCACCCAGGCGCTGGGGTCTTCACTACCCGGGTACTGGAGGCCCGACTAGGGAACCTCCAAGCCCGTGCCTGGAGAGCAAGACTTGTTGGCAGAGGAAATGGGAAAAAGCCAGGGAAGAGTAGGAAGTCCTGAGTCTAAAGACGCGGAGAAAAAGCTGGGATTCAGGGAACAGAGAGGCTAGGATGAGCAGGAGAGCGGTGCGCGATTCCTGAAGCGCAGAGCGCGCTGGCTGAAAAAGGGGTTGGGGGCGGTGGTAGAAGGATGGACAAGGGTAGGAATTTCCCTGCGAGGGGAAGAGAAATGAGAAAACCCAGGAGAGCCACAAACGCAGGCGAGATTCAGGCACCGGCAGCTGACCGGATTTGAAACCCAGGATGGTAGCGATGCTCCCCAAGTCCTCACACCTGTGGCTCTGCCCGGCGCAGTCGCGCAGCAGATGCCAGCCGGGGGCGATTGGAGTAGAAATGGCCGGGCTTCACCGGGGCTCCGAGACACACACCAGAGACCTCACTCCCCAAAGTCGCTCAAGAAAAGACAGGGTAGACACTAGGTGGACAAAAGCAGGTACTGGGTAGGTGCGGGTGGGTACTGGGAGGGCGATCTGCCCTCAAGCTCGGGTTTGTCTGGAGACCTGCGCGCCGGCTGGGATGCCCTGCCCTGGGGAAAACAAGGTGCGCACAGAAGCGAAGCGAGCGGGAAGCGATCAAGCGACCAGAGCCACAGGCTTCTCGGAGTGGGAAGGGTGGGGTGGAGCGCTGGGAGATTGCCGTAGGTGTTTCTGCAGCAGGTTCGGAGCAAACTCAAACCCCAGAGCCAGGCTGAGAGGTGGGGAGACAGGTCCCCTGTGGCTGGCTGAGCCCTCGGTGCACGAGAGCGAGCGGCTCTCACCGCCAGGACACTCACCCACCGCCCAGTGGTTGCCGCGCGGGTACATCTTGGCCAGCACTGTCCCTCCGCCCTCCGGCACCGGGGCGGCTGGCCCCCGGGACGCTTGGCAAAGGACCAGCGCCAGCAGGACCAGCGGAAGCTCGGGGCCGCGCATGATCCCGGCGGAAGCCCTCGGAGCGCCGCGGCGAGGCTGGGTGAGGCTGGGTAACGAGTGCGTTCTCCTGGCGGAGCAGCGACGGGAGGACCCGACCTGGGAGCAGCTCCACCACTGCCTCCGCCGTCCGCGCCACTGCTGTAGCCTGCACTCGGGTCCCGACTTTATATACAAGCCCCGGTGCGGGGAGGGGCTGGGGGGCTCTTCCAACGCGGACCAGAGCTCTCTGACGTCTCCGTACAGAGCCCGGCGCCGGACGCCTGGCCCGGGAAATCATCCATCTTCCTGCGAGTGATGATAGGCTGAGTGTACAGCGGTCCCTCTCCCCTTCCCTCGTGGTCCCGTCCGAGTTCCCCACATCGGATTAATTCCTCCCATCCTCGACGCCTTGGTTCCAGCCTAATTTAGTGAACTCCTTCCTCTCCAGCTGCACCCCAGTGCCTTCCATGTTGGAACCCACAAAAATGACCTGGGGTGGGGGCTGATCTCAGGGTGTAAAAGGGGCGCGTGCCGAGGATGGATGCTTTGGGGCTGCGTTTTGCCAGAAGGGTTTGGAACCGTGATTACCACGTATTTTTGATGTTCCGGATCTCCCGCCTCCGAGGCCCACTTCCTGGAGACTTGTCTCCCTCTTGCAGATTTCCACCCCCAACCCCATGCACCTGCCCCATCTTTCAGAGCCCCCCCCC